TAGAGACGGGGTTTCACCATGTTGACCAGGATGGTCTCGATCTCTTGACCTCGTGATCCACCCGCCTCGGCCTCCCAAAGTGCTGGGATTACAGGCTTGAGCCACCGCGCCCGGCCTTACTTGTATTTTATTAATTGAACACACACACTTGGGTACCTGGCCTGTGCTGAGGCTGGGCGTATAGCCCTCGCATGGGCCACAGTCCAGTGGGAGAAACTGGTAAGATGTTCTCACAGATAGTTGTAGTAATCATATTTTTTTGAGACGGAGTCTTGCTCTTGCCCAGGCTGGAGTGCAGTGGCGCGATGTCAGCTCACCACAACCTCCGCCTCCTGGGTTCAAGTGATTCTTCTGCCTCAGCCTCCTGAGTAGCAGGGATTACAGGCGCATGCTACTTCGCCCAGCTAAGTTTTTTGTATTTTTAGTAGAGACAGGGTTTCACCATGTTGGTCAGGCTGGTCTTGAACTTCTGACCTTGTGATCTGTCTGCCTTGGCCTCCCAAAGTGCTGGGATTACAGGCGTGAGCCACCGAGCCCAGCCTAGTAATCATAATTTATAGTTTAATTTTTTTTTTTGAGAGAATTTCACTCTTGTTGCCCAGGCTGGAGTGCAATGGCATGATCTTGGCTCACCACAACCTCTGCCTCCCAGGTTCAAGCGATTCTCCTGCCGCAGCTGCCCAAGTAGCTGGGATTACAGGCATGCACCACCATGCCCGGCTAATTTTGTATTTTTAGTAGAGACAGGGTTTCTCCATGTTGGTCAGGCTGGACTTGAACCCCCGACATCGGGTGATCTGCCCACCTCAGCCTCCCAAAGTGCTGGGATTACAGGAGTGAGCTGCCATGCCTGGCCAAAAATATGAAAATTAACTGGGCATGGTGGCAGACCCCTGTAATCGCAGCTACTCAGGAGGCTGAGGCAGGAGAATCGCTTGAACCTGAGAGGCAGCAGTTGCAGTGAGCTGAGATCGTGCCACTGCACTCCAGCCTGGGTGACAGAGCAAGACTGTCTCAAAAAAAAAAAGTAGGTGCAAGTCAACCAGCATCTCCTCCCTCCTCAGCACTCCGTCCGGCTCCCCTTCCTCACCTAGGGTGAGTGGATCACAATTCAAAGAGGAGGCTCTCCCAGCACCTCTCTTTTCAGTGAGTTTAGCGAGAGTTCCCGAGGAACGGAGGTGCCTGGGAGAGTGGCAGCTTGGTGGCCCCGTGGTGGACTTCCAGCCGCAGACCGGAGCACAGTCTTTCCCTCACTCCTTAAACTCCGGTATACTAGCCAGGCCTGGCTTTCGGGCTCTCTCTTTCTCTCTCTCTCTTTCTCTCTTTTCCTCCCTCCCCCCCTCCCTCTCTCCCTCTCTTCCTCCCTTCCTTCCTTCTTTTTTTCTCTTTCTCCTTCCTTTTCTTTTTTCTTTCTGTGGGGTCTCACTATTTTGCTCAGGTCTCGAACTCTTGGCCACAATCAATCCTCCTACCTCGGCGTGGCAGGGATGGGAATCTGATTGGAGAGGGTACAAGAGGGTGTGGAAGGAGAGCCAGAGGAGACCTTCCTCTTTGCAGTGTCGAGTGAATGGTTGGGATGGTAAGAAATGGGGAAGTGGCAGGGCATGGCGGCTTACACCTGTAATACCAGCATTTTGGGAGGCTGAGGTGCATGGATCACTTGAGGTCAGGAGTTCGAGACCAGCCTGGACAACATAGCAAGACCCCATCTCTACAAAAAAATAAAATTAGCCCAGTGTGGTGGTGTATGCCTGTGGTCTCAGCTACTTGTGAGGCTGAGATGGGAGAATTGCTTGAGCCCAGGTGGTCGAGGCTGCAGTGAGCCATGATTGTGCCATCCCACCTGTTGGCAACAGAGTGAGACCTTGTCTTGAAAAGAAAGGGAGGGACGGAGGGAGGGGAAAGAGTGGGCAAGCAGGGAGGGAAGGAAGGAAGGGAGTGAGGGAGGGAGGAAGAAAGAGCACAGAAACAGGGAGGGAGGGAGGGAGGGGTACCTGGATGAAGATGGAAGGGAGGGAGGGAGGGGTGCCTGGATGGAGATGGAAGGAAAGGAGGGAGGGAGGGAGGGAACCTGGTTGGGGAAGATGGGAGGGACCGTGGCAGGTTTGTGTGCTGATGGGAAGATTTCAGAAGAGGAAGTCATGATGCAGGGGAAAGATGGGAGAAAAGCGAGATCATTGTCCTGGAGTAGGTAAGAAGGGAGGAGGAGAGAGCCCCCAAGGGGAAGGGCAACACTGGGGTGAGAGAGGCTATTTGTGGCTAGTTGCAGGCCACTGGGTAGTGATGACCACTCTGATCATCACTGCCTGGGGACTGGCCTGTCACCACCACTGGACTGTGAGTCCTACGAGGACAGGGCTGAGGGTGTCTTGGCCGGTGCCAGCCAACCCAGGGCAACCACAGAGCAGCTGCTGGGCAAAGTGTGTGTTGAGTGGATGAGGGAATGTCTTCACACCATCACAGCGTCAGCCTCTCAGATGCATGGAGCTGTCGAGAGCTTCAGGCACCGCCTCCCTCCAAGGGTGACGGCTCTCAGTCCCATGTCACATCCCCCTCAGATATGCAGGATGAGAGGCTCAGATGTGCACCGAAATGCCGACCAACACCCACTCCACTAATACCTCCTAATGCGTTTCAAGGGGAAGGGCATTCAAGGCATTTTAATCCCATTCTAATCCCACCTACTCGGGAGGCTGAGGCAA